ATATATTTATATCACACAATATATTTATATCACACTATATATTTATATCACACAATATATTTATATCATACGATATATTTATATCACACAATATATTTATATCACACAATATATTTATATCACACAATATATTTATATCATACGATATATTTATATCACATGGTGTTTTAACAGCTGTTTTATTTTAGCTGGAGATCTTCTTTCTTCTGAATAATATGTTTCAAATTTAAACGAAGCCTTTCCTCATTTCTAGTTCTGAGAATAGATTTTATTTTCTTTAGAACAGACAGCTGTGGTTTATTTTTTTATGTTTAGAGTTTTCAAAGGCAACACTAATTAGCCAGAGGAAGTTGAGTCTTCCAGTCAGATGTGACTCAGTAAAGCTGGTAATAGCATGCTGCATTTGCTAAATGAGTTTTTAAATAGCTCAGAGATCACTTGAAATAAATAATATCTATTCTCATTTAACCCTAGTAGAACGTGGATTTTTTTAAATAGTTGTTGGGGAATGTTTGAGCTAAAGCATAGTAAACAACTCCCTTTACTAATCTTAGCTGTTGGAGTTAAATATACACCGTCAAAGGCAGAGACACTGAACTGAAGACTTTTGTGGAGGAGAGAGCAGCTTGTCATTTGATACATGGGGAGTTGTCTTCATTTTTTTTTATTTTTAGACTCCTCAAATAGCCACAATGGGTGGTTGTATTTTTGGTGCTCCCAGTGAAGGATGAGGTCTCGTAGCGGGTAATGTTTTTTTGGGACCTGTGAAGTGCAGCTTGGATCTTGTTGGCAAGAGGAGTTTCTGTATGGGCACTGCTGGCTACAGGAAACCACTGAGCTCAGAAAACTTACTGAACGTTGACGTATCAAGAGGAACCACAGCTTGAGTCAGAACTGACTGATTTCACTGTAAGATGCTCAGACTTCAAGTGTCAGGCAGCTACAGTCAGCATCTGATTGATCACATTTCATTTAGTAGTGTTTCTGTGGCATCAGACAAACCTACTGAAGGTGGCTCTATGTTTACACCCATTACTAAGCATAGTAGTAGACTAGTTTGGGTTTCCTTTGGTTCATGGTGACAATAATATGTCATATATGTTGTCATGGTCTGAATACAGTCATTATGAGAACGCCACTCTTTGCTTTGTAGAGGTCTTTCTTTCACAGTTTTAAACCAGCGTGGCTCCTCTGTTGTGCTCTCAGATATTGCCATAAAACATGATAGAATGAGGCAATTGTTTCCTCCTAAAAGTGTGAATCAGAGGTGAAGCTGTTCTGAATGAACTGTGCCAATGGTTTGACTTTGAAGATTATAGCTGTGTTTAATTAGAAATCCAACTGTGCAGTTTTCTTATGATGTTGATCTACGACTGCCACAATGAGTCCAGACTTATTGTCTGTTTTGTTTTTGTGTTTATTGTGCCTTTCATCTTGAGTCTGTTTCTGTTTTTTCCTCAGGCCCATATCTCCCTACAATATTATCCTGCAGAAGCACAACCATGGGGAAAGGATGCATCACAGTCACCAAGTACTTTCTATTCCTCTTCAACCTTCTCTTTTTTGTAAGTGATATAGTTTCTGTCTTCACTTTTTGTTCCTGGTATTTGTAAACTCTATGGCAATTCATTTCCGTGAAATGGCCGATCTGTCTTTAAGCCGTCTCTGGCCGTGCATAAATCACAAACGGAGTTGACCACGTGTTGCACAGACATGAGATTTTAGAAATGAAGCGAGTGTTGTGGAAATCAAAAGAGCAGGACTCAGATGTGATAATAGGGGGCCGAGGTGGGGTAGAGGTAGGGCAGCTGACGACTCCCTATCATTCCCACATGTTGTGGTGTCCCTGAGTAAGACACCCAATCCCCAATTGCTCCCTGGGCACCTACATAGCTGCCCATTGCTCCACCATCACGTGTGAGGGGTTAAATGCAGAGAACTAATTTTGCCATTGTATGGAAACATACGATGACAACACATAGCACCTTACTTTACTTAATTTGGAGAACATGTTAAACGTGTGATGGCCATATTCATTGTATTATTGTCAAAACATGACAAATAGCAATTCTCTTTGTGGTGAACTAATTAAATAGAAAGGTGCTATGCTTCATTATCAATTGTCTGCTGATAGTCTTTGTTGCTGTTTAACCCCGTTGCAGGTTGCACAGACAGTATGTCATCACTTCGAGCCACAGCACCAGCTTGCCTTTTAACACATCGACTATTTTGGCTGTTACTACCTCACTTTGTGGTACAAAGGTGCTTCAATCTCCCTTTCCACCTCCAGAAGGTGTCTAAAGGCTCCCACATACTCGGGCGGACCTCAGTCCGCGAAGGTCTGCGCATACCGGATTAGAGTCGAAGTGGACACCCGCAGGGCATGTCCGTGCAAAGATTAATTTTTACATATGTGTACTCTGTGTTGCACAATAAACTGCCCGGCGACGGACTGTTGTGTATGCAACACCAATGTATTAAACTCCCCTTCTTCACCCCTGGTCTGGTTTAATGGTCTTTTCTTTTGTTTTTATCCAAGAGACAAGCGATCTCTTCTTCCTCCGTTGATGCCATGACTGAAATTGTGAGAAATGAAGAAATTTGTCAAGAGCAAATTAAAATCGGGTCCATCGTGACTGCGGGAGGGTCTGAACTTTTGATTAACAACATGTAAACACAGAACCCCATGGTGGCTGGGGCTGCCAGCTCTCTTTTTTTTGGTTTGTTTGTTTGTTTGCAACCTGTCAATCAATCCAGTAGGTGTGTCAGCAAATGACCAATCGGCGACCTCAATTTGTCCCAAAGGTAAACGCCCCTTACCTGCGGAGCTGGGCTGCAGCCGCTCAAGATGGATGCTCGAGTATGAAGACTCAACTATCTGTGGACAGAGTGCACAGTTTCTGCGCGGACTGAGGTCCGCCCGAGTCTGTGGGAGCCTTAAGTCCTGACTTGAAGTGTTTTATGAAAGAGCCTTGTGTTCACCTGACTTTAACTTTCTCAGCTCCTTTGTTTAGTTGATGCAGAGATAATTCTGCTCCTCAATTTAACAGTCGTGACACATCGAGAGCTGTTAGATGCCTTTCAGGTTTTTTATTTAAATGTTTATCTCTATTCAAGTTGTACTGGAGAGTAGTGGATACTTTGCCTGAGGCAGGAGACTTTACAGAGCAGTCAGCATATGGTTTTTGTTTCATCTTCTCCAACATAAGTCCAGTGGCTGAGGAAACCTTGGGCCCCTTAAAGAGCGCTCTGCCAAGATGTCCAGACCTCTCCAGTGAGTCTACAGCTATAAACCTGACACAGAGCTTTTGAAGAGTGTGCTCAGTTGGTGTCTAATAGGAAAAGTGTGTGTCTCCATCAAGTGTTTGTCTGTGTGTGTGTGTTCGGGGAGGCCTGGGGAAGCAGGAAGTGTTGGACTAATGATGGCTGCTGGGTGTTCAGCAGGCTTTATGGAAGTACAGCTCCTAACCTGGGCGCTAAATACTCCTGTAAAATGGCAGCTGGACCAGCAGAGTGCTGCAGAACCAACAGGGCCTCTCACTGGACAAATTTGTGCCCACAACTTCTGAACAAAGACCTCTTCAATTAGGTCAACATTCTGAGATCCTTAATCCCAATAAAAGTGGCGCACCAGATGGATCTGATCATTTTCTAAGAAGCAAGTGAGGTGTTCTGGTGAAGTGTTGTCTCTGCTCTTTATTTTGTTACCACACACTATCGGTTACTGAACGTGCCGCTCCAGATTGGGTTTTAGTTGTGAGAAATGCTGCCCTACAGACTGTTGATCCTTTATGTACCTTTCTCAAGTGTTGTTATGAGAGAAAGAGACACACAGGCTAAAAGTCTGATTACTTCCAGATGTGGACGGAAGGAAGCAGAAAAACAGCTCTGTTAAAAACTTGAGCACAGATTTTGTGTTTTACTTTTCCATAAGATGTACTGCCTGCTCATTTTTGTTGTCCTTGCCCTCTGCAGATATTTGGAGCACTGATCATGAGCTTTGGACTGTGGATACTCCTCGACAGCCAGAGCTTCATAGCTGTTCTGCGTAAGTGTTAAAGCCTCGAATCACAAAACCCCTCAGTTTATGCGCAGTACGTTTAACCGGAGTCCTCTGAGGACAGTGAATGCTGGAACAGAAGTTGGAGAATGTGGAGGGGAAAAAATCTGTAAGTCTTGGCTTACTCGTCGCAGTTTATGACTAGTTTTATCCCGTAGGGCTCGTTCCCACAGCGCCACGAAGGGTTGTTCACACCGTATCAAAAAGTGACTCACCAATGAAACTGGATGACTTCCTCAGCTGAGCCAACGCACCCCTAAAGACATACAGACATGCAATGGCAGGCCACATCTGTGGGTAGTAGGCTTGTCAGTGGGAGGTGACACACTCTTGATTATCATGGCATCAGACGTTGTTTCATCTCAGCTTGGAAAACTGCTGTTTAGTACCCCCCCCTCCTAGTTTCCGCAGTGTTTACTTTTATCTTGCCCAGATGGCAGAGGTGCACAGATGTAATCTCCCACTCTTGCAGATGTTGTCATTTATACTGACTTCATCAACACCTTAAGGGAGGACACTACACCTTTAAGTAACTTACTGTGGAATATCAACTATTTCAAGAAGACGATGCGTCCAGCTTTGCTTTTGTGCTGTGAAGAAAAAGTAAATACAACAAGGTCCAGCCTGGCATAGAAAAGAGAATATTGACTGGAAAATCTTAGTTTCCTTAAACGTTCTTATACTTATAAATGTTTGTTGCCTTTGTCTGCATTTAGTCTTGATTGGTAAGAAATAATAAGCATGTGTGATTCAAACGTCGTCCTTTTCCTTTTAAGTATTTCTTGCAACCGACTGACCTATTTGGCAACATCACCCATTCACCCACAATATACAGGGTCATCAAATTTTGTGAGTACTAAGAAGTTTTTAACAGCTTCAGCCTCGTGTTCACACTGAAACTAAGTTTTATGAACCTCAAATTTGTATTTTTGGACAATGGCTGTAGAGAAAATGTCTTGATCTGCCACCTTAGCGTTTTTGCGTAGATAGCCAAAAGGTATCGCTCTGAAAAAGACGATGTCTTACACACACACACCCCCCCACACACACACACACCTATAATATAACCTATAACTCGCATTTTGCACCTAACGGACAAAGTTTCTGTGTGTGCTCCATGCTTTGTGTTCTTGGTGTATTTTCATGGCCTTCCAGCACCTCATACAGTCCATGCTAGCATACGTACACTGTATTGCTTTGGGTCGTTTTCTGTGTTTTTGTGTGAATAAAAACATTTCTAGAAACAATGACATCTTACAGGATATACATTTAACAGGATTACAAAATCTTACAGGATTTTTGTTATAAATAACAACAAAAAAAGTTTTTTTTATAAAAACAGCTTTCCTGTGTCAACAATTCTCAACACCATTTAAAAAAAACTGATGAAAGTGAGCGTTCTGATTGGCTAAGACGTTATCATCATTACCAACATTTTAAACTAAGCTACATCTGGTTCTTGTATGAGACTGTGCATAATTTAGTAATAATTTAAAACTTTGTGGATCCAGTAGAATGAGCATGTAGACTGGAAGTGGCCCAGGGACCACCAGTTGAAAACTGATGAGGTGTTGCAGATCTTAATTCCGTCGGGAAGTTTTTTTATTATGACGGGAGGTTTATGAAGAGCTTGCTTCCTACAGGAGTCACACTAAATAACACCTTCCTGTTTGAACTAAAAAGGGGAGAAATCAGTTCAAGGATGTTACTGAGCTGTTTGCTAACCTTTAGTTAGGCCTTCAGAGAACAAATACAGGATCCCTGCCAGTCCAAGGCCGATTGTAATAATCCAGCTACTCGTCCACAGATGATATGATTCACTGATTCCCTCAGGACCTTCCTCCGTAGCTGGTCCTGACGACCATCTCTGCTGCATGCTTTTTTTTTGTATGCGTGTTCGTAACCTCATAGGGGTCCATCTTGACCCCACCATGGAACTTCACTGGAATTATTGTTACCACCGTGTGATGGAACAAAACCTAAAGGCAGCACTGTTTATTGACTCTGAGTGTTCCCTTAGAAAACTGTACCGTTGCCTGTCTATAAACAGGATCTCTGTGTTTTCAGTTTCCATTCTTCATGTGTTCTTTTAGCAGAGGTCTTTGCAGCTGTCCGGGTGACCTCGGGCACAAAACATGTGTGAATGTTGTGATTTCAGTCTTTTTTTTGTTTGTTTTGTTAAAAGAACATCCTCTTCTCAGCCTAACCTACCTACCCTCTGCATCATTACAACAGTGTTAGTATTTTACTCCAGCGACATGATAAGTTAAATTTATCTTATTGGAAAGGAGACATGTGTCCACAGACTGCACCAAAACACATAAAAAATAACAAATGAGCTAACTGCTGAGTACAAACTGAAAATTCAACGTAAAGTTGATCCACTTGTGTTTACCTTTTAAAAGTTGGAAGTTGTGTCAACTGTGGCTTCTCACCACCTGTATGCAAACTGGAGTGGCTCTGGTCATGTTTACAGTGGGACCTACAATGGCAGCCAGCCCTCTCTCCTCCCACGGCGGTCGTCTTGGAAAGCAGTGTAACTCTTTCCCCTTTAAATGGAAAGTTCCATAAAAAACCACTGAAGGAACCATTACAGAGTATCTAGCTGAATCCTCCATAGAAACCTGCCGTGGTGTTCGACAGAAAAGCACAGTAACAAGGCAAGCGCTTGCTTTGTCTAAGATTATGCTTTGGTGTTACCACAGAGAGATAGGATGTACGAGGATCTGGTGCTCTGCAACATGTAGACACCTGCAACGGCTTGACAAGAAACTTCCATTTTTTGAGTTTTAAAAGCTTTTTAAGAATATTTAAAGCAGACAGCTGAATAGAAGAAGAACCTACTTGTAACTCAATGTTAGCAGCTAAACTGTTGTAGAAAAAAACTGCAAGTAAAACTGGATCTTGTAGATATCAACAGTGTTTACCTTAAATTTGACAGGAAAACCACACAAATACACAACTCTGCCACATGTTCAATTCAATTCAGTTTATTTATAAAGCTCAAAGTCACAACAGAAGTCATCTCAGGGCACTGAACCGAAACATTCATATACATAAAAAGTTAATAATATTATTTATCTGAGGAGCAGACTGCTTTGAGTCTAACTTCGTCACAGAACTCTCATCTTGAGCATGAAGGCGACAGTGGAAAGGAAAAACTCCCTCATGAGGAAGAAACCTTTAGCAGAACCAGGTTCAGGACAAGCGGCCATTTGCTTCGACCGGCTAACCCTAACCCTAACTCCAGTTAAGACTCTGGCAGCAGCATTTTGGATCAACTGAAGACGTTTTAAAGAAGTATTTGGACATTCATGATAATAAACCATTGCAATAGTCCAGTCTAGACATGACAAATGCATGAACCAGTTTTTCTGCATCATTTTTAGATGAGATGTTTCTAATTTTAGTGACATTACGCAGGTGGAAGAAGGCTGTTCTAGTAATGTTTTTAATGTGGGGGATAAAAGACATGTCCTGATCAAAAATAACACCAAGATTTTTAACATTAGAGCTGGAGGACAGATTAATGCCATCTAAGGAGGGAGAAAGACTGAAAAATTCATTCCTAAGGTGCTCAGGTCCAAAAACCAAAACCTCAGTCTTGTCTGTGTTCAACAGGAGAAAATTAAGGGTCATCCAGGTTTTTATGTCTTTAAGACATGCTTGTAGTCTAAGTAACTGATTGGATTCATTGGGTTTCATGGGCAAATATACCTGTGTATCATCAGCATAATGAAAATGTATCCCATGCTGTTTAATAACTTTACATAATGGAAGCACAAGATAAAGAGTATTGGTCTTGATAATAACCTCAGTGTCTTATTGATTAAGCAAACTGCAGTCTTACACCTTGAAATAAGTTTATAAATCTGTTTTTTTTCTATGACCTGTACTTGCTTTGATTTAGAGATAATCAGCAGATTTAAAGTAGTTCTCATTCAGTCTCCTGACAGTTAGCAGTCAATCCACTAGGTTTTTTTTTTTTTTTACATCCTAAACTCCCCATTTAATTAATACGTCAAAGAAACCTATGCACATCTGTTGCTTTCAAAGATACTACTTTGTAGTTATGTTGTGTATTAGAGGCTGAAATAAGCCACTTTGTGTTCTCTTTATAGAACATAGAGTGTGGGTTTCTGCCTTCCTTAAATACAACCCTGCAGCCACATAAACACCTAAAACATGTTGGGCGACGTACTTTAGGCTTTAATATATTCTCAGGCCACCTCAACATGTGCTGCTGTGGTAACTTGTGTAGAGGCAGTGATGTTTTTATGCTGCTGAAAATTTATGTTACGCGTTTTATTAAGTAGTTCATCGTGCTACAACAAATGTTTTCAGAAGTCTGTGCACTGAGGCATTATGTCGGGAAATAAGAGTGACAAATTATAGCAGTTGCCATTATAAATTTGCATTTATTTTCTTAAGTTTGAGCCAGAATATGTTTGAATTTTAAAATACGAGTAGTAAAAGGGTTGGTTGGAGTTGAGTCGTGGTAGGGAAATGCTCTGCAGCCTGACAGATAGCTTATTTTTCTTTGATAACCATCCAACCTGCGTCCTGCGATAGCAAACGGTTGTGATGAAATGGTAAAAACTCAGAAGTAATATCAGAGTTGGATTTGGAAAAGGAGCTAAGAGGTTTTAGAAGCTACTGAATGTTTTTTTGAGCCTGTGTCAAGGCAAGTATTTTAAATAAAACTATAAAGAATCTACCTTTTGGGGTTTAAAATGGCTGTATCTAATTAGGCTTTTAATTTATTTATTTATTTATTTTTCAAAAACAGCAGTGCTGCAATATATTCATAAATATGAAACATTTATGAGCTGCTGCATCACTCAGTGTCTTCAGCTCATGGTGTGGAGTGACTGATCTGATGATTCTTGTTTCTTAAGCTCCGACTCTGGCTGGAGCCCTTCCAGTTCAGATAACAAACAGCCACATGGTGGCTCCTGGTTATCTTTTCTTTAACCTTGCAGTTGTTTTCAGTCCCAGCCTCCCCCTTCTCCTCTTCCTTCTCTTCCTCCTCCCTGATCTCTCCCAGTTTACATACCAAAGAATGAAATCAATTAATCTCAGTAAGAACTTGTCCTGATCCAACTCCCTCTGGTGGCATACGGCAATAAATTACATTTTCATAGACTAAAAACCATTAGAATATGTTGATTTTACCAGAAACTGATGACTTTGTGAATACTTTATGAATCCTGGTAAGCATCTGTATCAAAAAATCTGAACATGGCCTAACAGAAATGCATTTTTTGCATTCAGTTGAAATTCAACCTGAAAACAGGGTTAATAAAAAAAAAAGTGTTAAACTATCAAAGACGTTTGCAGTGCAGCTGTTTTTGTGTGATGTTGAACCTCCTCTGTTTTTCTTTTTGTTTGCATCTTCTGCAGAGGAGTCATCTCACACGGTGAACGTGGCTTCGTATATCCTCATTGGAGTGGGCTCCCTGTCCATGGCCATGGGCTTCTTCGGCTGCATCGGAGCCATCTATGAAATTCGATGTCTGCTGGGTTTGGTGAGGAACAGACTTTGAGCTCCGACGCTTCACACTGCAGTGCAGTTTATTTCTCTCACGCAGGGTTAACACCCCTCACCACAGAGTGAGAAACCTCATCACTTCACAACCACTCAGGCAACTAAAACTTGTAGGGATTTTAATTTATTCTGCTTATTGGGTTAAAGGTGATAACTGAGAACACTCCTTAAATTTTGCCAATGTGACAAATATTTAATACAGTAGTCCCTCGTTTATCGCAGATGATCCATACCCTGAAGCCCAACAATAAGTGAAAAACTGCAAAGTAGGAATAGTAGTACAAGTGGTAAGTAGTAGTTTATTTTAGTGTGTGTGTGTGTATATATATATATATATATATATATATATATATATATATATATATATAAAGGTGTTTTAAACGCTTACCACATTCTTGCAATATTCTAAACATTGTTTCTAAACTCTAAAGGCTCTAAAAGAGCACAGCATGTCATGATTTCAGCTCTCTACCTCCTCTGCTCTTTGCCACCTGCAAGTGTTCTTGGCCACGCCCACTTTTCTTCTCTGCACGGAGAACAGCTGATCAGCTGCAGCAGGAAGTTTATCCTGCAGTGTGGGCTGCACACAGGTGCAGGAAGTGCTAAATAATTTAAAATACTTTATTTTAAATAAAGATCCCATGCCGATCGTGCGGCTCATCCATCAATCAGCCAGTTGTGTGTCATGTCAAGTCTTATTTTGAAAAACCATGAAAGAGCGAGTCCACAATGATCAAACCACGAAGCAGCGAGGGACTACTGTACCTCAAACTACTCGTGGTGGAGGTTTGAATTTTTTTCTAATAGGTATGGAATAAACTCTGCAGAAAAAGCCCAGTTTGTTTTCACGTGAAACGTTGATCTGAATGTACCTGTGCTCTGAAACACGGGTAATAACATGTGATAGATTCCTGCTGACAGCAAAGCTCTTCAACATGTCTGCTAATGTGTTGAGCTGGGAGCTCACAGCAGGTGCAGACTTACTAACAGGAGGGAGGTGTCCAGGATAAAACCAGTGAAATGTAAGGGAGTGGGGGCTGACCATAGCAGGGGTAGATCCGTGACCTGGACTGTGTTAAATCTGAGGGGTTAACAAAAATCTGCTGTGACCTACTTCTTGGAGTGACAGTGGCCAGCTGCCCCTCTTGTTGGACACAAACCTTCTTGTTATTACCTAATAGCTGGAAGGGATCCTAAATCTATATATTTATTTTGTAAATCTAATAAAAAAAAAAAATCTCCATCTCTGAGGTTTTTGTTAAGTTTGCAGCAACTGTACCTCTTTATACAAAACAAGGTGTGAGCCTTGATTTTGGTTTATTCATTAAACTAAGTTAGTAGAAGTTAGTAACTCACTGGGTTGTGATTGGTGCAGACTAGTTTGCCAAACAAAATTGTAGGTAAATTGTAAAAAAAAAGTTGGCAAATCTTTGTTGCTGTCTTACTGAACTGGCCTGTTTGTAGTGGTCAAAATCCCAGCATGCAGTAGGGGTGGGCGATATGGCTCAAATATAATATTGTGATATTTCAGAGCATTCTGACGATAACGATAAATTTTGTGATATAACAAAAAAAAAAAAAAAAACAGAAATCATTGTTATTCATTTGACAAAATGAACTTATATAAAACTAAAAAAACAAGGGTTAATTTTACTGCAATTATTTTATTTAGTAAAGTATTCAGTCTCAAAGTATATTTTTAAAAAATCCTTCTGTTATTTAGATTGAAAAAGTCTGCACAAAATATAGAAAAAAAAGTCCCCCACAAAAACTAAAGTGCAGGTGCAGTTCCAAAAAAATTAAAAAAATTAAAAATAAATAAAAGTAATGCTTAAGATCTGTTGAGCCTTTAAATGAGCTATAACTTCCACAACTTTTGACAAATGCTGAAAACAAATGAAATGATGCCTGAAAGGGCTGCAGATCATCGGCAGAACAGCCATCAACCAATTTCCTGTTCCTCAGGAAAGCAGCTGGTCTCGAGGTTTGAGCTGCACGGTTCCCAGTCTCTGTTAGTGCACACTCAGACTCGGGTAAGGCTCCACGGTCAGACTTGATCATAAATCGGTGGTCACTGCATAGTCAGTGTTTCCACTACCATTATACAAGCAGGGTGGCCCACCGTGTCAACAGAACCGAGCACACAGTCTACCGAACCGAGCTGCGCACACCCCCGCCCCACTGGTCTGCACTGACGTAACTCCAAGTTAGCAGCGCGTTAGCTACAAAGCTACAAAGCTAAAAGCAACGTCTTCCGTCACGCGGACCGGCTCACAAACCATCGGGACAAACAGCGCTCAGCTCGGATGTAACTGTGTCCCTCCTGCTCTAAAACGGCGCTCACTCAGCTCAGATGTCTCCGTTCATGCCTTCATTGCAGCGTAATCTGCTGCTTGGTGGGATGTCGTATTTACGTCATGAAATTAGCATATCATGATATCATTTATTTTCCCGGGCAAGTTTTTTTGACCAGTATTATCGTGAACGATATGATATGGCCCAGCTCTAGTATGCAGAACTGTATTCTTGGCCATGCACATTATTTTGTTGCCCACCTCCACACACATACCTGCCTTGAATGGTTTTGCACCCACCTCGGCAGTCACCCCATGTTTATGATTTAACCTACAAACCTCATCGGTGTAGTTTGTGGACCCAAACCATCAGACTGTAGCGTTGAGTGTTTTCAGTTAGAGGAGGGCCTTCATTCAGCTGTGGTGCTTTTGAAATGGGTTGGTGATGCCGGGGACAAAATTCAGATAGTTCAAGATGCATGTGGCAACGTTGTGACTATTTTAAAGAAAATTTGTTGCACACATTTTCTTGCACATGTTCAAAATTCAAGCAACGGTAGCGTGCCTCTGGGACTGACGCAAGGAAACAACACGTCAAGGTTTTTGACCACATGTGTTGATTTTTGGATCCACAGTCGTGTCCCAAACCCAAATATTGGAAGCCACATATTTAGAAAATTGTAAACCAAAAGATAAAGACTAAAAATAACAAAAATGAGCCTAATTTTGACACTTGGAAGCTGATGGAAAAGACAACATTCAGGGAAGAAAATATTCACTAAGACGTCTTAGAGATTAGTTTTTCTCTATTTAAAGTGCCAAAAATGGAATAAAACATCAAACTATTAGAGAAATTTAACATAATGCACAATATTTTAAGATAAAACACAATAGAAATCCATTTAGTCACAGAATGGCATGTTTATATTTTGAACTTTGCATGGCCAAAGTGTATCAAGTTGACGGCAAAGGGACCTGTTTAACTTCATCTTCTGTCGATGGACCAGCTTGTTGAGCCGTCGGCTGTTCCAGAGGCTTAAACCAACGTGCTCTACCATCTGACCATATCTGACCTCCTTCTTCTGACTCTTCTCCGTCTCTCTCTGAAACATCAGACTCTTCATGTATGTGTCGTTAGCCTTTGTAGCAATGCTCTGTTCACGTGCAGCCTTTGTCATCACTTCCTGTCTGCACACGCACCTTTCCACTGACATTTGTGACCGTATGTCTCAACATCTGTTTATCTGAGAGTCCTGAATTATTTTGCAATATACTGATGTTATCTTTACAACTATGCATTTACATTATTACAAAATCTTTAAATGATTCATGGCTATTAGTTTAGTGATCACTGTTTGAAATACTTTTGTTTTTCTGTGTTTCCCGCAGTATTTCACCTGCCTCCTCCTCATCTTCATCGCTCAGGTTACTGCTGGAGTTCTCATTTACTTCCAGAGAGATCGGGTAAGACTGGTTTACTTTTCCTTCAGCTCTTCTGACTTGAATTCACTTGTTCATCATTTCCATTTTTATCTGCAGTTGATGTGCCGTTCTTAATAATTTCCTTTAAATACTCTTAATTTCCCCGTTCTTTTGGTTCCCCCACCTTTCACACTCTCTGCTTCTCCACCTTTCCTTCCACGGTTCGAGCTTCTATCTACTGGGTGTTCATGTTTCCCCTCCCAGCTGTGGCAGGCTGATTCTGGGTGTTTGGTTCAAGCCTGTAAGGGACTTCACACAGTTTCACATGATCAGTCACAAGCTGACAGGATGTCAGTTTGTGACTGATCTGACTTCAGATTCTTGAAAAACACCAGAGAGAGAGAGAGAGAGCAACAGATAGAGAGACAGAGAGAGAGAGAGAGAGAAACAGATAGAGAGACAGAGATAGAGAGAGAGAGACAGAGACAGATAGAGAGACAGAGAGAGACAGAGACAGAGAGAGCAACAGATAGAGAGACAGAGATAGAGAGAGAGAGACAGAGAGAGAGAGCAACAGATAGAGAGACAGAGATAGAGAGAGAGAGAGCAACAGATAGAGAGACAGAGAGAGAGAGAGAGAGAGCAACAGATAGA